GGGTTTAATGTAGTATTAGACCGACTATGCACTAACACTGGACACTGTAAGACACAAGAGTAACCCACGCAGCACGCCGTCTGGATCGTGGCCAACTCTCCCCACTACAAACGTAAGGGTATAGACGCGCACGGTGAGGAGAGTTTTCTGATCTGACATTTCGAGTACGTACAGCACTTGTTTTTGTTTTTTAAATCCAGGCGACGGGCGGGTATTACACACGCCGCACAATGAACACACGGCAACGTGGAAATAATCCTGCCGTGATCAGAAACAAGAGACGCCTCGCCGTCTTTCAGGGGGCCTGCGGCACGGATACCATGCAGGAAGAATTTCGAACGTGTGCATGAAACGCATTCTGGCGACAGATAAACACTAATATACACAACACGAAACAAATGCCTTGTTTACAAGACTCCTTAAAAAATGTTTTAAAACAACTTCGTTTAACTCACGGCCGTCGATAAGTCCGTCAAATGTAGCCTGAGACACGCGGCGCCTGTGTTTTGTGCGAGCTGATCCCACAGTTTAGGGACCGCGGCGATTTTGACCTACACACACACATAATTAATAAGGCGTCCATAAAAAAATGTTAATTGCTTTAAAGTAGCGAATTAGTGTGCTGATCTTTAAAGGTGCATTGAAAAATGTGATACTCCGACTGAGTGACTAATGCAGCCAGGGTTTGGTGTCACATGTTATTTATGTACGTAATAAAGGGGTTTTTTTTGGGTTAGATCGCGTTATTTATAAATGTGTCGTAACCCTCCACCACCCGACACGGCCAATCAGCAGAAAAAAATGTCACGTTGACAAAAGACAAATAGTTCACTACTTCAGCCCACCGCTGTGTTGAAGAGTGAATCCACAACATTTACAGTTTGAGTAGTACTGTGACGTTTCGCTGGTAAATACATCCAGCATCATCATCATCGGGCAATTCGCCAGAATGGTAAAGCCCTCGCTTGCTCCCGGTTTTAAATAGAGGAGCAGTAGGGTGGCGTCATCACTTAACTCATATCAGGTGCAGTGATTTGAGCCGGGGGGGTATTGTAATTATATAATCGATTGGTAATCAGTCAATGGTTATGATTAGTAATGAGTTGTAGATTAGTAATTAGTTGTAATGAGAATAGCAAAGTTCCAAAAGTAAATATTAGCTCGAACGAAGCAAAAGCCTTAAGAGAGCTGCGTGTAAATAAGGATATCCAAATCCTGGCAGCTGATAAAGGCCGCACTACTGTAGTGATGTCACGAGCCGATTATGATAATAAAATTAGAAATTTACTAAAGGAAAGTACCTACATTAAAATTCAACGAGATCCAACTAATACTTTAGAACGTAAGACTACTGCAATAATTGCAAATTCATTAATCCCTAAGAATGAGCAATACCAAATTAAGCCAAGGGCCTCAAAACCACCTAGACTGTATGGGCTACCAAAGATTAATAAAATCGGCATATCATTACGACCCATAGTCAGTACAATTGGCTCTGCCACATATCAATTAGCAAAATATATAACTAAACAAATACAGCCCTACATCGGTAGGACATCTTCATTCATAAGAAATTCAGAACATCTTGTGAATGTGATTAAAGATATTAAACTTAATCCTAATGATATTCTGGTAAGTTTTGATGTGATTTCTCTATTCACTAAGGTTCCAGTGAACGAATCGCTTAAATTACTTGATACACTAGTAAAGAATACAGGTTTACCAAAAGATATTCCGAAACTTGCTGACCATTGTTTAAATAACACTTACTTCTTATGGAGAGGGGATTTTTTTAAACAAAATGAAGGAGCAGCAATGGGCTCTCCTTTATCCCCTGCTATAGCAAATTTGTACATGGAAAACTTTGAAATAAGAGTACTTGCCTCGAGCACATTAAAACCATCTTTTTGGTTTAGATATGTGGATGACACTTTGGTTGTCTGGCCACATGGTAAAGATACACTTAATGATTTTCTAAATCATCTCAATGCACAAAACCCGGCCATCCAGTTCACCATGGAAATGGAGGTGAATAACACACTCCCGTTCCTAGATATTTTGCTTGGACATGGCCTAAATGGTAAAATAACACACAGCGTTTACAGAAAGCAAACGCACACTGATGCCTATCTGAATGCAGATTCTCATCATCATCCAGCTCAGAAATACTCTCTTATCAAGACGCTGATACATTGGGCTAAAACAGTGTCAGATGGTGAAAGTCTAGTGAGAGAGATCAAACACGTTAAAGAAGCACTACGACAGAATGGCTACAATAATGCTTAAATTAACAGAGCACTGAATGCCAAATCACGATCGCAAAGCAATACTGCTGAAAGCGATCAGATTGTTAAAACAATAAAAATTCCATATATCTCAGGAGTGATATATGAGGGTGGGTGACCAGCACCACGCCCGACCGCCTTTGTCTCCCCAGTGGCGATGTTTACACACCGCCCCAAATACTAATTTGAGGCTCAATCGACCTAGGGGAAGCCCAGGACCGGTTCAGATAATCGTCACTGGTGTTGGCCGTGAGCGGGAATCGAACTCGGGTCGCCGGGTTCATAGCGCAGCGCGCTAACCACTACACCACCGCTCCCCACCATACCAAACACACTAATACACAACCATTTAACACATGCCTAACACTGCCTTGGCTACAGACGTGAACATGTTATTACATCTCTGTATTTTAGCTCGGTTAAGCTTAGTTGTGTTATTGCGCGGGGGGGAGGGAGGGGTCACGTGGACCAGGTTCTTAACTGGGGGGAAGGGGGGGGTAGCTTGGTTCTATAACAAAGTGTTTGAGAACCACCGCATTGCAAGAATCATCAACCATCTGCCACAAAGCCAGAGCTCGCGGGCAGGCGTAGCCAGCTAGCAAAAAATGACGGATGTGCATTTACAGTGCAATGGGTGTGGAGCAGTTTGCCGCTGTAGTTCTCACGGTGAACTCTTAACCCGGTGAGCCGAGATCATCATCCAGCCGTGTGTGATCACGTCCGATCCGGTCTCTGGCCCATCACCAAAGAGCACTGCCCAGCGTGGTGAAGTATGGACAAACAACCCCCGCGACCGATAATGGGCGGGGAGGCGCTTTATATGGCAGTGGATTGACAAAGGGCCATAAAAAATAAACATTTAATTATTATTTTTACTAATTACTCCCAAATCCACATAATTATCTTGAACATAACGAGCGATGTTACTCTACGATGTCATCTATGTGCAGTAAAAGCCTCGCTGGGTGGGTTTCCAACAAATAACTGGGTCACAGCCACACACATTCAATGTATTTGAGGACATAGAGAACCGTATCCCACAAGGGCAGCTGCCAGTCCCTGGGCTAAGTTGAGCTGTTTTGAAACTCGACCCGCACAAGTTTGAAGGGCTGAAACGAACCGCAGAGATGAACTCGTCAAAAGAAAAAAAACATTCAAAAAGTTTCCCGGTAACGTGCGACGTAGTGTTAATAACTAGACGTATTCGATTGTGATTCTGCTGTGTTTAGTGGCGTCCTGCGTTACAGCCGTTTGTGAGTGTATTAAATCTGTCTCGTGTAGCCGATTCCAAATTAAACGTATTTAATTGTACGGCATTGTTATTACTATGCTTGTTTTTCCCAAGGAAAGCCTCACTGAGTCTCAAATTACTTTTTTTTCAGCAGGGTCCTAACCAAGTATTCACAATAGGGGCCCATATTGCTATGCGCGGTCCCATTTGAGTGAGTAACTGGCAGGTAATTTTTTTACATTGGGATCTTTTTCAACATTGGGACCAAGTTGCATTGTACTGCGACCTACACGCATTGATTGTACAAAATAAGAAGCAGAAGAACATATTGTCTTGTTTGGGGAGTCGGAAACGTTTCCGGAGGTAAGCACATATCATTGTTTGGAATCCGTTCCGCAAATTTCCAAAGTATTGTTTTTTTAACGAACCAATGGAATAAAGAACACTGATTGAACCAATAGTGTAAACCGAATAAAAAACTAAAGTTTGTTTTTAAATACGTTTATTTACCCAAGATACCCTTTCGGAGTCTCTGGACCTTTCTTACATGAAGATCCTGCATCGGAATGTTTGTCCAATTCTGCTTTATAACAAGCTCCCAACACCGGAGAAACACTGCAATGTGACCAACATCACGCCCGACATTTCTCTCCACATTGTTGCAACCTTCTTCCCGATGGAGGCTTCCCATCCCTACACACGTAACCACAACTTCCCTTATAATCAGTGAAAATCCACACAACGTTCTCAAGCGACAGAGGCGCATACATTTTCCCCGTACGAATTAACACATTCCTGCGGAGGGAGCTGGTAGGAACGTTGGGTTGCTCGGTCAATGGCCAGGGTCAACGGCGGCACCTCGTGGTGTGTTCAGCACAATATGCCCGACTTTGAGGGCGGGCACAAGCCGGCGTGAGTAGGTTAAACGTTGAGTTTTATAAGGGCACCACGGGGTGACCAGCCCCTCCCCCCCACCCAGCCCCACCCAGCCCCTCCCCACCCTCCCCACCCAGCCCCTCCCCACCCTCCCCTCCCCACCCAGCCCCTCCCCACCCTCCCCTCCCCACCCTCCCCTCCCCACCCTCCCCACCCAGCCCCTCCCCACCCTCCCCTCCCCACGCAGCCCCACCCCTCCCATTGTTGGATGCACGACGGACGGACGGACACAATAATCCCCTGTGGGCTGGTGGTGTAACCAGGAGGTTCCTGCCAGTATCAAGTGCCACAACTTCCAGTCACAACAAGCCTTACGCAGCACTCGACGACAGTACAGCAAATGCCTTTGAACTGAGAAAGCCCTCATTTGAGCCTCAATACTCAGCTGCAGAAGATTCCTGCCACGTTGGAGCGTTTGGCCAGTTCCATCGGCAAATGAGCGTCTGGCCTCAGACTGAAAGAGAGCGCAGAGCGCAGAGGAGGAACTCCCCACCACCAGCAGCAAGCACACATATCACGAGGAGAAATGCCCTCTCGTCTCTTCTCACCTTGATTGCGTGGGTCATGACCATCCAGGGTCGACAATAAGTTGCCATGGACTTGGAGAGCGAAGCAAGTTGCAACACCACCACCACCATCCGCGCAAGATCCTCCCTGGTTGTTGTTGTTGTGTGTTGTTTACGTCTTGTTTGTCGGAATATCCCTTGTACAGTATCAGCGGAGTGTGAACTACCACTGTAACGTTAACGCGCGTGTACCACAACAGCAACTGACTGGAGGTACGAATCGGTGTGCACTAATTAATTACGATAATAATAGTTTATCTTTGAACCGAGACGAGACCGTGCGTAACTGCGTGCCAAAAAACGAGGCGTGTGTACCGAAGGGCGTCGGTGGTCTTGTTGACACGATTGGTCGTTGAAGCCTCGAAGCTTTATTTCATTACGGGTAAAACAAAAATGTTTTACAAAAATGTTTTACTTTCTTAGTTCTGGCGCTCGTAACAAAGACAAGAGACTGAATATCTGCATAGCCATCATCCCGTTGTGTTATTGGCCGAGTCGGTGGCACCACCCCGCCCACGTTGAGTGACGTTGGGTGGCTGTGGGCGGTTTATCGCTCGCTGCGAATGCCCGCACGTGTGTTGAGTTGACTTCAAAACAACGCCTTTATTCCGGATTATAAGACGCACTATAAGACGCACCGGATTATAAGACGCACCTCGAATGCAATCGTGGCTCCGGTGGTCGATAAAAAACTATTGAATCTGATCTCATGAACACGCACGCACGTACAACTTACCGGATTATAAGACGCACCCCCAAATGTAATACATTCCGGGGGTTAATAAAGTTGTACAAATCTGGTCACATATAGACACACGCACCGGATTATAAGACGCACCCCAAATCTTGTGACCCCGTGGTCAAAAAAGTGAAACACACCCCGGTCATTCTAACCGGATTATAAGACGCACCCCCATGTAATAGTACCTGGTCAATATAATTATATAAAATCTGTGCTCATACACACACCCTACCGGATTATAAGACGCACCACCAACGTTATTTGAAAATTAAGGTGGGGAAAAGTGCGTCAGAAAATCGGGAGAATACAGCAATGCATAGCTGTCAAACCTATACGGTTTATACCACGTGTTCTTGTCGAGGGATATTGAGTTTTCAGGTCCATACGGTGTACAGCCGTTTCAATACGGGCAACATTATTTTCGTCTATTTGAGTTTCTCCCATGTGATGGGACTGTGTAGGATGAACGTTGAGATTTATAAGGGCACTGGGTGACCAATAAGGTCTGAATTGGTCTGTAATAAGGTTGGCACCGATCAGGGGTTGACAGGTATGGCAATGGACAGAGGTTTCGGTAACCTAAATAACAAGAATTTAAATGTTTTGTTCGAAATTCGGTCCAAACAAAAAGCGTCTCCGGAGCCGCATGCAATGGATGACATTACCTAAGCGTGTGTTGGAAGACCAAATGTTTTTTTTCAATTCAGGGATGTTGAGCACTTCTTAGGGGGACGAAAAATAATAGTTTGTAACTGGATGTGACGATTAATGGAATCGCCGTGGGAGGCTCTTTGAATGTTGCGCATAAAACCAGGACATATTTGAGAAATATATGCAAACGATGTTTGGAGCGGTGTTCGTGGTTGGCACACACTGTTATATATTAACCTGAAACACTGTGTGCAGTACTGTGTGTCATATGTGTAATTGCATTGCCTGAAGCCACGTTTTTAATATTTGCGTCTCAATGTTTACGGAACACTGTGAAGCAGAGGAGGTGTGTGTGTGTGTTGGAATCAGCACCGGGCAGACAAAGGTGGCTTCGGATAGGCGCTTCTGGACTCATACAAATCACCTTTGTGCCACACCAGCCTTAATAAGTGGTCGCCAATTTCCCTTTTCTAAATCATACAACTGAATTAAGATCTATAGATGTGTTTTTTTGGTAGTCCGACGGCGCAGCCTATCATCTGTTCTGGGGTGAATAAAATGTGTACCACTTTGTGGCACTGCCTATCACGAGGCTAGGGTTAGGGCCAGCTGGTTGCCAGGGGTTAGAGTTAGGATGTGGTTGGCTAGTGTGGTTAAAGATTGCGCGAGGATACTCGCCGGTTTGGGGCCGTCCATAAATGACGTCACGCGATTTTGGACGATTTTTGACCCCCCCCCCCTTCGTCATACGGCGTCACAAAAAGTCAGACTTCCCCCTTAAATATGACGTCACAACCCTCGGCCCCCCCCCCCCCCCCCCAAAATCAAACATGCTTCAAATCGCTTTAAACTATTGTCATTGTAGTGCGTATTTAATGTGGCGCTGCACTGTTGTAGGAGAAAACATTTATCAAAAAGTCTATTTAACTAAGTAGAACGTGTTGTCTATATTTATTTAAAGTTGCACATTTTGATGTGACGTCACATTTCTCACCCCCCTTCGTCACACATCGTCACAAATGTCTGACCCTTCCCCCCCAAGGTGCGTGACGTCATTTATGGACGGCCCCTTGCTCGGCGAGTGTGGTTAGGGTTAGGTCTAATGTCTGGCTAGTTTATGGTTTGGGCCAGTGTCTGGCTAGTGTGGTGAGTGGAAGGCTCTCGTGTGAACAAGAGGTAGGGCTAGAATCTGGTTGGATTGAGTTCGGACGAGTGTCTGGCTGGCTCGTGTAGTTAGCGCTTGTGTCTAACTGGCTAGTCTGGTGAGGATTATTATTTGGTTGGTTCGTGGGGTTAGGGAATAATATTATTAGAATCAAGGCCGTAATTAGAATATATATGCTCAAAATGTCCCCCCCAATATATTGCTATTAAAAAAAATTGTCATGCTATGTAAATATAAACAACAATTTGCTTAACCTTGCCCACAATATCTGGACTTGTCTTCATATAAATCAATGCATAGATTTCTGTTTATATGATTGTGGTTATGGTTGTACTTTATTAATCCCCACTCTCTGCCATTACACATACAATGAAACAAGAAATGGTAAAAAAGTAAAAACAGAGCAATGTAATACAATACACTATTAGACATTATTGTAAAAAAGTAAATAAAAAGTCCATCCCATATGTTCGTGAATTTTTTAATATTTTAGGCAGGAAATTAGTTTTGATTTAAAGCTTTCGTGACTGCAGGGATTCATATTCTTTTTTCTAATTTTCTTGCTGTGGTTTTCACACCTGATGATTGCTTGTGTTGCAGTCGAAACGTTGTGAGAATTTTATTGTTTTATATGTTTATTATTTTATTGTTTCCCTTCTACGTGAAAGAACCAGGAATAGGAAATGAGTTCTAAAATTTAGATATTTTTCTGGGTTGGGACCCCCAGACACCCTGGAAGATTTGGTCCCCCCAAATGTTGACTCCATGGCTACGGCCTTGATTAGAATTAAGGCTAGTTTTTGGTTGGCTACTGTGGTTGGGGTGAGGGTTAGTGTCGAGCTGGCTTGTAACTCGGCACTTTAATACGTATTTACCCACACTTTTGTTAAATCGCATGGCCATTTCGCTCTTTCACTTCTGGAGATCACAGCGCCGCCTAGCGATGAGCACGGAAATATTCACCAAAATATTAATTCATGAAAAAAAATCCAATCGAGACCAATCATAGCATCGCTAAGTGTTTGGGGAATGAACGTTACCCGTCTTCTTGGCATGGAAATATTCCCCGGCCTATCAACTTTTTACTCAATGGCAACTGATTATTAGACTGTTACGTGAAAACCAAAACTTTGCCCATTGCGGCTTCTCCCATCGCGGATTTGACGATTCCCACCAAATTTATGGAGGCGAAGTTCGCCGATCGCGTCCCTATGCCTCGACTGTTCGAGATTCCTGTACATTGTAACTGCGCTTTGATGCCGGCGATGCTACCACGGGAGAATACGCGCTATCACATTAAGCACAAGTGTTTTTTAGTTCTTTTTTTCAACTGCATATTTCCTTTTCTTGATTTCCAGGTTTACGTGTACAGTACAGTACATATTATTTCGTTGAATTCTATACATTGACTGTACAAGTTATATAAAAAAAACTATCGAACATATACATCATAAGCTTTCGTGACTGCAGTAATTCATATTCTTAGTTTTTTCGGTAAAGTCACGTTGAAGAGAAACAACAAAATAACAAAATATATATAAAACAATATTTTGTTGTTTCTCTTCAACGTGACTTTACCGAAAAAACTAAGAATATATACATCATAGTTTAGCATAACATACTGTTTCATGTTTGGTTGAATGTAGGATAACAAAAGAGGGGGTTGTCGTTTTATTAACCGTATGAACCAAACCCTATTTTCCCCATAATGCATTTGAGTTTGCGGATCGCGGATTTGCCGATTGTGGCTATTTTCAGGAACACAACCCCCGCCAAAGACAAGGTTTTTTGCATACCTGTCAAGATTATTTGCCATAAGCAGCATGCACTGACAGCCCGAACGTTACGATTGGACCTGCAGTACCCTGTCATCTAGGTGCCGTGGTGGCAAGATGTTAACTCTCTCGCCAGGTATACAGGAGGTCGTGGATTCGATCCCAACCCTGATGCCTCTATATTTGGAGTTTGCACGTTTTCCCCGTGGTCGTGTGGATAATTATCCGGGCCCTCTTTTAGAAACATGCGTTTAGAATATTTGGCGGCTATAAATTTCCACATGATGAGCCACTTTATTATTTGTGGCCAGGTCGCTTCTAAAAAAGAGCTAGATAGCTCAGTCAGTCTTACCTGGTAACATAAAAAAAATAGTTTAGATTTAGTTCAGCTGTCGGGCTGCAGTGGCCGTCAAAGTGGAATCCTGGTTAGCGGCTTGCGCAATTGGCCGCTGCTGATCGATCACTGGATTAGTGGATAGCGAGCGGGAGGCGCGGATATGGATTAAGGGATTACGACAGGCAGACTTTCTGTCATTCCTGCAGGCAACCGCTGCCTGTGCATGCGCAGTGGACGCAGCGCTCTTCTAAAACCGTTCCTCCAAGGCAGGCAATAGCTCCCGTCTAGACAATACTGACACACCCTCAATGCTGTTGGCCGCCTATGATCGACGGTTGACACCCGCGGACTGGCGGCTCGCACACAGAAGCTGATCGATCGTTCAATTCCCACGATAACTTGGCATGCTCAGCACCCCAGGGGATGGAATCCGTAATGTGGAAAGGTCTTCTCATGCGTTGGGACACAGTTATTTAGCATCACTCCACCCCACACGGTCGTAAATGTGTCCTTTCCTGTTGTGATTCCCCTGCAGTCCATTACGGGGCCTGGGGTAAATGAGCTGATCGCCTTGGATTTGCTTGGACGTTTTCCCTGCACTCCGAGGAGGAAATCTTTCTTGCTATTCGGGTATTTTACTCACTACCCGATAGCGTGGCCCTTGCCGGATCAAACTGCACAGATAATAGCGAAAGCTTTCAATCAATGGGTACGTGATTTAAAAAGGGCCTCATGAGCGACAACTAACAGATCAGTGTCGACATTTACCTTCTCAATTGCTGCTGGATGTCTGTAACATCATGGGGACAAAGAAGCTGCGCATCTCCCCAATCACCGACTGATGAGATGGTGAAACGACCAAATCGCACTTTCTAAGCCTTGCAAAACCACGCCACAGGAGAGGAGCAGACTGATTGGGATCTGCACATAACTCTGTCGGCGTACAGAGTTGCTCCCCGCGTGTCCACAGGGTTTTCTTATTTTTGTATTATTATGTACGAGCAAGACCCCGTGCCGCCTATTGAACACCATTTGGCACAAATTCCGTCCCAAGCCCCGTCTTGGCCAGTCCTTTCGTCACTCCCCAATCGCATTTACGGGAGGCACACGTGGCAGCGCAGGCAACGTCTGCCTCCGCATAAGCAACGAAGCAGCGAATTCCGGAGAAATATGTCGCGCCAAATAAATTCGCGGTTGGTGTACAAGCAGGGCAGGATCAAGGCACGGGGGCTTTAGGAGCTGCAGGCCAGGGGCCTTCGCCAGCTGGAGGGCATCCAGAGATTAAGTGGAAAGTTATTTCGTTTGTGAATGCTGAATTTTATTTGTTGTTAGCCTTGTAAAAATACATTTTATTTTTTACTTGGTTTTCCTTTTGAAAATATTACTGGGGGGGGGGGGGGGGGGGCTCAAAGTACCTGTAGCCCAGGGGCCTACAAAATCTTAATCTGGCCCTGTGTTCAAGGCGTGGCTACACTGCCCACACGTGCATCTGCGAATTTGCCGGTGTACCAGAAATTAGTCCAGAAAGCAGTGGTGGCTCGTGACCTCTCCACTAGGTGGGGCTGTTGTGAGTGACGTCTGAAAATATGGTGTTTTAATTAAGAAAAATGTCATGTTATTGGCTTTCCCGTGAAAGCGATACAACTGTCTTATCTACCAACCGTAGGCATTTATAAACAATACGAAACATAACAACAAAGAACTCAAATTCCGTCCCCATGACCCTCAAGTCCACACTACACAACCCTTTGATACTGCCAAAAGCCTCAAGCGTAGCGTGTAGTCCGTGACCTGCTATACTTGCACAGTGCTGCGCCGCATTGTGACATCGTCATCATAAATTTCGATTTAAAGCTTTCGTGACTGCAAGGATTCATCTTCTTTTGTTCTTTCGGTAAAGTCACGTAGAATGAGAATAAAATAATAAATTGATAAAATAAAATAATAAAATTATCTCTCTTGTGGCCGAAACGTCGTGAGAATTTTATTGTGTTATTTTATTTTAGAAATTTATTATTTTATTCTCATTCTACGTGACTTTACCGAAAGAACCAAAGAAGATCGTCATCATAGCCACGGGCGCCTTTTTCACCGCCCTGAATGTCTCAAACGGCGTTGCTAAAATGCGAAGCTGTTTATCGCGATGACTGAAGGGAAATCTAATATGAACAACTTAAAATGTTATCTTCATTAGACAATTCACAATGAAAGAATCATTACATTATTTTTTTTAAACACAACAAAACAATGTATAGAAAAGTATATATTTTTTAATTAGAAAAATCATTTATCATCTCCAGCTGCTTGGTCAGACGGCGCCCCAACGCCCCTAGTGGACGAACCGCGCCTCACAGCAAGTGAAGTGAACTCCATAAAAGAGGTATTTTGGGTTAGATGATA